TGTATTAATTTTCAAATCATTATATTTTAGCCAGTTCGTTATATTCTGTGCCGTGTAGTGGCGGTTAAGAATATCCACTACCCCATATCTTCCCGTGGGTGTCGTAAAAGGCGACAAAGGGAGACAGGCAGGAGATGGGCAGCAGCATCTTCCTGATAATAGCCAAAATAACAATAAAAAAAACTGCGGTTGCCAACCCGCTCGCCAAGCGTGGCAACTATGGCAATATACCCCCCATGAGCAATGACAATAATAAACGGCCCCCAGTCCCCGGCGGCCCCGCTATTCCTGGCTACGGTGGCGACCATGGTAACGGCGGGGCAGGGGGTGCTAAGAATCTCCGGTGGAGGTTCGGTTGCCACCTACGACGACTCGACCTGGCAACATACAACGCACGCACCCTGAGGACTGACGAGAAGATTGTGGAGCTGGAAGAAGAGATAGACAAGTTACGCTGGCATATTATAGGATTATCCGAAGTCCGAAGAGAGGGGGAGGACACGGTAATCCTCGAATCCGGCAACTTGCTCTATTACCGGGAGGGCGACCATCTGTCCCAAGGAGGTGTCGGATTTATCGTCCACAAGTTTCTCGTTAACAACGTTGTAAAGATTGAGAGTGTGTCGACGAGGGTTGCGTACCTTATACTCAGAATCACCAAACGGTATTCGCTGAAGGTCATACAGGTTTACGCACCAACCTCGGCACACCCCGATCAGGAGGTGGAGGAAATGTATGAGGATATCTCTAGAGCCATGCATTCCTCCAAAACCCAATATACGGTGTTAATGGGAGGCTTCAATGCAAAACTAGGCACAAGAGAGAACGGTGAGCTGAAAGTAGGGAAATTTGGAATAGGGCAACGGAACCCAAGGGGCCAGCAGTTGGCTGACTTTATGGAGAAAGAGGGACTCTTTATGATGAACTCTTTCTTCCAGAAGCGGCCCCACATAAAGTGGACCTGGTCGAGCCCCGACGGTTCGACAAAAAATGAGATTGACTTCATTATGACGACCAGACGACAACTTTTCAGTGATGTCTCAGTGATCGCGAGGGTGAAAACCGGCAGCGATCACCGAATGGTTAGAGACACACTGGACCTAAACGTTAAGTTGGAGAGGTCTCGTCTAATGAAGTCAACGCTCCGTCCCCCTCGTGCTCTAATCCAAAGTCCCGAAACCTTTCAGCTCGAGTTACAAAACTGTTTTCAGTGCCTAGGAGACTGCAATGAAGTGGACGATTTGAATGACAAGCTCGTGGAAACTGTCCATGCGGTCGGAGCTAAGTTCTGCAAGACCCGCCGCAGAAGAACACAAAAACTCTCCGATCACACTCTTAATCTCATGGCTGTTAGACGGGAGATGAAGCTACATTCTTCAACAGATTTAACAGCATACAGGCAACTGAACAGACAGATCTCCAAATGCATGCGGCGGGACTTACGCAACTTCAATACAGCTCGTATTGAAGAAGCGATCGAGCGGAACCAAGGCTCCAAAGTCTTTGCCAGAGATCTGTCTGCCAGAAAGCGCCAACTGTCAAAGCTGAAGACAGAATGTGGCAGCATCGTTTCCGGGGCACCTGAAATTTTGAGTGAGATTGAGAGGTTCTATGGGCAGCTGTACACGTCATCGTTGGAGCCGCACGCAAGTGTGAGTAACGATCCAAGAGCGAGTCTTATCCGACATTATTCCGTTGATATCCCGGACGTCAGTCTGAGCGAGATTAGAATGGCTCTCCAGCACCTTAAAAACGGCAAGGCCCCAGGCGAGGATGGAATTACAGCTGAGCTTCTGAAAGCGGGTGGAAAACCGGTACTTGAAGTCCTTCAGAAGCTCTTTAATTCCGTCCTCCATGGTGGCATTACACCGGAGGCGTGGAGCAGAAGTGCGGTGGTCTTGTTCTTCAAGAAAGGCGACAACGCTCTCTTGAAGAACTACAGACCGATATCCCTTCTGAGCCGCGTCTACGTGCTGTTTTCGAGAGTCATTACGAATCGTCTCGCGCGCAGACTTGACGACTTCCAGCCTCCCGAACAAGCCGGTTTCCGAAAAGGCTTTAGCACCATAGACCACATACATACCCTTCGGCAAATTGTACAGAAGTCCGAGGAGTACAATTTGCCACTATGTCTGGCGTATGTGGACTATGAGAAAGCCTTTGATTCCGTCGAAATTTGGGCGGTGCTGCAGTCCCTTCAGCGATGCCAAGTTGACTGTCGGTATATCGAAGTGTTGAAGTGCTTGTACAGTAGGGCTACGATGGCTATCCGAGTACAGAACCAGAGTACGAAACCTATCCAATTGCAGAGAGGTGTAAGACAGGGTGACGTCATATCCCCGAAACTCTTTACCGCTGCATTGGAAGATGTTTTCAAGCTTCTGGACTGGAAAGGATACGGTATAAACATCAATGGCGAGTACATCACTCACCTTCGATTTGCCGACGATATAGTCCTTATGGCAGAATCGCTGAAGGACCTAAGCACTATGCTCAATGACCTCAATAGTGTTTCCCAACGGATAGGTCTTAAGATGAACATGGACAAAACAAAGATCATGTTTAATGTCCATGTCACACCTATGCCGGTAGTTGTTGGGAACACTAAGCTCGAAGTTGTTGACGAGTATGTTTACCTGGGACAAATAGTCCGACTAGGTAAGTCCAACTTCGACCGAGAGGTCAATCGACGGATTCAACTCGGCTGGGCAGCGTTCGGGAAGCTACGACACATCTTCTCGTCAGGTATACCTCAAAACTTGAAAACGAGACTGTACACCCAGTGCGTGTTGCCAGTGATGACATACGGAACTGAGACGTGGTCCTTCACTGCTGGCCGGATGAGGAAGCTCAAGGTCGCTCAGCGAGCTATGGAGAGGGCTATGCTCGGAGTTTCCCTGCGTGATAAACTCAGAAATGAGGATATCCGCAGTAGAACTAGAGTGACCGACATAGCCCAACGGATTAGTAAGCTGAAGTGGCAATGGGCCGGCCATATAGCTCGAAGAACTGACAACCGATGGGGAAGAAAGGTTCTCGAGTGGCAGCCTCGTACCGGCAGGCGAAGTGTAGGGCGTCCCCCCACTAGATGGAGTGACGACCTAGTAAGATATGCAGGAAGTCGATGGATGCAGGTGGCTCAGGACCGTGCTTTGTGGCATTCTTTGGGGGAGGCCTATGTTCAGCAGTGGACTTGTGAAGGGCTGTAATGATGTTATATTTCTTATTTCATTATTTATTTCATCATTATAGTTATTGTTAGGGTTTTTATGTATAGTTATAGAAATATCGTCAGCATAGAGTGTAACAGGATATTGCGTACACTTTGGAAGGTCATTGATGTACAGAATGAAGAGTAGTGGTCCTAATATACTGCCCTGTGGGACACCTGAGTTATTCGCCCTAATCTCCGATCTGTACGTCACACTCTGACACCCATCATCCAGCCTCGGTACTTCCACAAACTGAGTCCTTTCACTGATATAGCTCCTTATCCAATCATAAGCCGGTCCTCGCACACCATAACGCTCAAGCTTATTAAGAAGAGTGCTATGATTGACAAAGTCAAAGGCCTTACTCATATCGAAAAGGATGGTGGATACGGGAACCCTATTGCTCATATGAAACGATATTTTCTTAATAAGGGAGTAACAGGCCAGTGCTGTTGACCTTTCCTTGCGAAACCCAAATTGTTCCTCCCTAAGTATGCAGTGTTTTGTGAAAAAAGAAATTAATCTGAACTGCATGATTTTTTCGAATATCTTTGACAAAAGTGGGATAAGTGCAATGGGTCTGTAGTTGTTTAAATTATGCCTCTCTCAGTGTTTAAATAGTGGCCTGACAATGGACATCTTAAGAGTGCTCGGAAATTTACCCTCTTCAAAGCAACGATTCACAAAATGTGCCAGCAAAGGTGCCAACTCACTTGCACAAGCCTTAACTATCTTCGTACATATCGCATCATGACCTGTGGAATTTGTATTGTTCAGAGTGCTTATCATTTTGATTATTTCATTTTCGTCGGTAGGGTTTAAAAATATAGATGCGGAAGTAGTTTCGATGAACTTCAGCTTACTTAAATTATTTTGATAGTTATCAGGTACATTTGTCGAGTCTATAAAGTGATTATTAAATGCGTTTGCAATATCTGATGGATTATCTATAATTTTGTCATTTATTTTTAGGTATTCAATATTATGTTTGTCATTTACTTCGTCTTTGTTATTAATTATATTCCGAGTGGCTTTGCATTTTTCCTGGCTGTATTAACATATTTCTCATTAGTAATTTTTTGGGACAGTAGTATACTTTTCCTAAGTATTTTAGAGTACTCTCGGTATTTATTTTTAGTATTATATGTGTGTGCATGATTTTTTTAAGCCCTTGGTTAGCCATTTTGATTTTGTGTTAACTTTATTAAAAATTCTAATTTTGTATTTAGGAGTAATAGTAATAGAAATTAGTAATAGAAATTAGATTCTAATTTATTGTGAAAAACACATAAATAGATTAGTTTTTTTATGGTTGGCAAGAAAAAAAATTGTAGCTCTTTAAAAACTTTGAAATTTTGTAAATTGTAATTTTTGACTTCCGCCTCAAAAGGTTGCCGACCCCTGACCTAAGTGTATTGCATAATGACGTGATAAAATTATCTATTTGTTTAAAGCCACAAGGTCTATACACAGCAAGGATAGCAGTTTCATGGCCCACTTTCACCAATAACCTACTACAATCTAGCATATCAGGGTCTTCGACTGATATGTTTATATTTTTTTCGCAAAGACTACTACACCGTTATTTTGGTTATATACAGTTTTACTACTAAAAGTATTGTATCCTGGCAGTGGTGGCAGGTTGTTTTGGCTTTTAGATAGCCAGCATTCTGTTAGTATGATAACGTCGCATTCAGTGTCTAATCTTCGAAGGAGAATTGAAAAATAACAATATTGTTCATGGAAATCCATATTGTTATTTTTCGATTTTGCACCAACCATACATACCTGGTTCCTTTATCTGAAGGGAGGTCTCCCAACTCTTCCTCTATTTTGATGGCGGCCAATGCTTGAGCCTCCCTAAACAGCCTCAAGTCGTAATCGGGAGCGAAGCCCTCCAGTACGGGCTCCCTTTCATCGCTGACTTCTTCGCTCGATGCAGCCAACTTCTCACGTAGCTCTTGGCTGCCTTTCCATTTCGAACGCATATCCTTATAACAAATATGAAATTGATATTATTATACAAGTGGTGGTGAGATACTTTGTGGCGAAGGAAAACATTGTGTCATAACCTGCTTATCTGTGGAATAAAATATTTCGGGGATATATGAAGTCCGAAGAAGCGGAGTGAAGTCGCACAGTGGTGCACCGCCAAGCATCCAGTTGGTGTGGTTGGTTCCGTGAGTTTTGTCGTCATGTGCGTTGATAGAATTTGGTGGCTGGAATTAATTCGAACCATTCCTCTGAGCACTCCCCGTGGTAAATACAATAGAAAATGCAAAGAGATGTTCTCTTCGCAGCGTCAGTAAATAGAGCCGATCAGAAAGAGCTCGGTCTTTGACGGTACGAGCGACTCTGTGCTAGATGCAGTCAAGAGGAAAGAGCTGGCACTGGGGTGCCCCGGTCCAGAGATCAGAACAGTATTCCATGTGCAGCCGATCTTGCGACTTGATAAGTTACAAGCGGTGTGCTGGCGTGAACCACTGTGCCGCTGTAGTGATTCTACGGACGACTTACCTTGAACTTGAGTTGGTTGGGGCATCTGGACGCAGTACGTAGTATAAGTAGTAGCGTGGTAGTAGTATGATAATAATGCACTGGTTGTAGCAATCTCCGGCAACGTACCTTGACCTTGAGCTGGTAGGCGCGCTGCTCGATGGTGGGCATGGCGCGCGGGCGCTGCTGCAGCGCGTGCAGCGCGTGCAGCGGACGTACCTTGACCTTGAGCTGGTAGGCGCGCTGCTCGATGGTGGGCATGGCGCGCGGGCGCTGCTGCAGCGCGTGCAGCGGACGTACCTTGACCTTGAGCTGGTAGTCGCGCTGCTCGATGGTGGGCATTGCGCGCGGGCGCTGCTGCAGCGCGTGCAGCGCGTGCAGCGGACGTACCTTGACCTTGAGCTGGTAGGCGCGCTGCTCGATGGTGGGCATGGCGCGCGGGCGCTGCTGCAGCGCGTGCAGCGGACGTACCTTGACCTTGAGCTGGTAGGCGCGCTGCTCGATGGTGGGCATGGCGCGCGGGCGCTGCTGCAGCGCGTGCAGCGCGTGCAGCGGACGTACCTTGACCTTGAGCTGGTAGGCGCGCTGCTCGATGGTGGGCATGGCGCGCGGGCGCTGCTGCAGCGCGTGCAGCGCGTGCAGCGGACGTACCTTGACCTTGAGCTGGTAGGCGCACTGCTCGATGGTGGGCATGGCGCGCGGGCGCTGCTGCAGCGCGTGCAGCGGACGTACCTTGACCTTGAGCTGGTAGGCGCGCTGCTCGATGGTGGGCATGGCGCGCGGGCGCTGCTGCAGCGCGTGCAGCGCGTGCAGCGGACGTACCTTGACCTTGAGCTGGTAGGCGCGCTGCTCGATGGTGGGCATGGCGCGCGGGCGCTGCTGCAGCGCGTGCAGCGCGTGCAGCGGACGTACCTTGACCTTGAGCTGGTAGGCGCGCTGCTCGATGGTGGGCATGGCGCGCGGGCGCTGCTGCAGCGCGTGCAGCGCGTGCAGCGGACGTACCTTGACCTTGAGCTGGTAGGCGCGCTGCTCGATGGTGGGCATGGCGCGCGGGCGCTGCTGCAGCGCGTGCAGCGCGTGCAGCGGACGTACCTTGACCTTGAGCTGGTAGGCGCGCTGCTCGATGGTGGGCATGGCGCGCGGGCGCTGCTGCAGCGCGTGCAGCGCGTGCAGCGGACGTACCTTGACCTTGAGCTGGTAGGCGCGCTGCTCGATGGTGGGCATGGCGCGCGGGCGCTGCTGCAGCGCGTGCAGCGCGTGCAGCGGACGTACCTTGACCTTGAGCTGGTAGGCGCGCTGCTCGATGGTGGGCATGGCGCGCGGGCGCTGCTGCAGCGCGTGCAGCGGACGTACCTTGACCTTGAGCTGGTAGGCGCGCTGCTCGATGGTGGGCATGGCGCGCGGGCGCTGCTGCAGCGCGTGCAGCGGACGTACCTTGACCTTGAGCTGGTAGGCGCGCTGCTCGATGGTGGGCATGGCGCGCGGGCGCTGCTGCAGCGCGTGCAGCGCGTGCAGCGGACGTACCTTGACCTTGAGCTGGTAGGCGCGCTGCTCGATGGTGGGCATGGCGCGCGGGCGCTGCTGCAGCGCGTGCAGCGCGTGCAGCGGACGTACCTTGACCTTGAGCTGGTAGGCGCGCTGCTCGATGGTGGGCATGGCGCGCGGGCGCTGCTGCAGCGCGTGCAGCGCGTGCAGCGGACGTACCTTGACCTTGAGCTGGTAGGCGCGCTGCTCGATGGTGGGCATGGCGCGCGGGCGCTGCTGCAGCGCGTGCAGCGCGTGCAGCGGACGTACCTTGACCTTGAGCTGGTAGGCGCGCTGCTCGATGGTGGGCATGGCGCGCGGGCGCTGCTGCAGCGCGTGCAGCGGACGTACCTTGACCTTGAGCTGGTAGGCGCGCTGCTCGATGGTGGGCATGGCGCGCGGGCGCTGCTGCAGCGCGTGCAGCGGACGTACCTTGACCTTGAGCTGGTAGGCGCGCTGCTCGATGGTGGGCATGGCGCGCGGGCGCTGCTGCAGCGCGTGCAGCGCGTGCAGCGGACGTACCTTGACCTTGAGCTGGTAGGCGCGCTGCTCGATGGTGGGCATGGCGCGCGGGCGCTGCTGCAGCGCGTGCAGCGCGTGCAGCGGACGTACCTTGACCTTGAGCTGGTAGGCGCACTGCTCGATGGTGGGCATGGCGCGCGGGCGCTGCTGCAGCGCGTGCAGCGCGTGCAGCGGACGTACCTTGACCTTGAGCTGGTAGGCGCGCTGCTCGATGGTGGGCATGGCGCGCGGGCGCTGCTGCAGCGCGTGCAGCGCGTGCAGCGGACGTACCTTGACCTTGAGCTGGTAGGCGCGCTGCTCGATGGTGGGCATGGCGCGCGGGCGCTGCTGCAGCGCGTGCAGCGCGTGCAGCGGACGTACCTTGACCTTGAGCTGGTAGGCGCGCTGCTCGATGGTGGGCATGGCGCGCGGGCGCTGCTGCAGCGCGTGCAGCGCTCGCCGGCGCGCCGCCGCCGCCGCGCTGCGCTCCTCCGCCGCCGCCACGCACCAGGCCGGCGTCACGTTGTGGTACACCGGGCACGCGTCCCACGTGAAGTGACGGCTCGCTTTCCCACCTGCCACCAACACCAAATACTATGCAACACTTAGCCAAGTTCACTATTAAAACATAAAATAAATAAAATTGAAATGTTTGTCTGTATTTATGGATTAAATTTTGTATTAATACTTGGCTGTATGCTGTGTGTTTGTTTGCTTGTTTATTTTTTTTTAATGTAACACATGATAGCGCGCGCGATTTACTTACTGTGCATTGTGTGTGAAATTGGAATTTTTAAAATTAGATCTATTTCATCATCATCATCATCCCTTCACAAGTCCACTGCTGAACATAGGCCTCCCCCAAGGAATGCCACAAAGCACGGTCCTAAGCCACCTGCATTCATCGACTTTCAGCATGTCTCACCAGGTCGTCACTCCATCTAGTAGGGGGTCGCCCTACACTTTGCCTACCGGTACGAGGCTGCCACTCGAGAACCTTTCTTCCCCATCGGTTGTCGGCTCTTCGAGCTATACGGCCGGCCCACTGCCACTTCAGAAGGTTACTAATCCGTTGGGCTATGTCGGTTACTCTGGTTCTACTGCGGATATCCTCATTTCTAAGTTTATCACGCAGAGACACCCCGAGCATAGCCCTCTCCATAGCTCGCTGAGCGACCTTGAGCTTCCTCGTACGGCCAGCTGTGAAGGAGCACGTCCCAGATCCGTAAGTCATCACTGGCAACATGCACTGGTTTACAATTTAGTTTTCAGGTTTTGAGGTATGTCTAATGATAAGATGTGTCGTAGTTTCCCGAACGCTGCCCAGCCGAGTTGAATCCGTCGATTGACCTCTCGGTCAAAGTTAGACTTACCTAGTCGGACTGTTTGTCGCAGATAAACATATTCGTCAACAACTTCGTGCTCCCAATAATTACGTTAAACATGATTTTTGTTTTGTCCATGTTCATTTTAAGACCTATCCGTTGGGAGACACTATTGAGGTCATTGAGCATAGTGCTTAGGTCCTCCAGCGATTCTGCCATAAGGACCATATCGTCAGCAAATTAAAGGTGAGTTATGTACTCGCCATTGACGTTAATACCGTATCCTTTCCAGTCCAGTAGCTTGAAAACGTCTTCCAATGCAGCGGTGAAGAGTTTCGGGGATATAACGTCACCCTGTCTTACACCTCTCTGCAGTTGGATAGGTTTCGTACTCTGATTCTGTACTCGGATAGCCATCGTAGCTCTACTGTACAAACACTTCAGCACTTCGATATACCGATAGTCAACTTGGCACCAATGAAGGGACTGCAGCACCGCCCAAATTTCGACGGAATCAAAGGCTTTCTCATAGGCCACATACGCAAGGCAAAGTGGCAGATTATACTCCTCTGTCTTCTGTACAATCTGCCGCAGGGTAAGTATGTGGTCCATGGTACTAAAGCCTTTTCGGAAACCGGCTTGTTCAGGAAAAATAAGAATTCCAATTGTTCGATTTAAATTTAAGAAGTCTTGTATTATTAAATATTCTAAACGAAATAACTGCCTTATATTGAGAGAAGGGAGTTATTTGTACTCTATTTAAACATGAATAACTATTTTTTTTATTTTGTCTGTCTATTCGGACTAATCTTTGGAATGGCTGAACAGATTATAATTAAACTTCATAAACAGATAGAGAACAAGGCCAGGAGTGATCAAGACTATATTTCATTCCATTTTTTTAGTCTATGGTTATCTCAAATCTAAATTTCACCAAAATAATGGATCCCTTCCAGATAAAACCGAGGCGGATCACTAATTATATATAAACGAAAATATGCCATTCTCACTGGACCAATAAAATTATCAATTTTTTTTTGTTTTCATAAATCGATTATCACCAGCGATTTTTCCGGACCGATACGACTTAGAGACCTTCAAGAAAAGAGCCGGAGTAGGCTCTTTTCCTTTTAAAAGGCCTGCAACGCATCTGCAATTCCCGTGGTGTTGCGGTTGTTCATGGGCGGCGGTAGTCACTTACCATCAGGTGAGCCGTAAGTTCGTTTGCGCCCTCTCCTATAAAAAAAAATAACCCGTAAAAGTCCACTGCTGAACATTTTTTTTTATACTTTAATGTCAAACGAACTTACAATCCACCTGCTAATAAGTGACTACAGCACCCAGAACCCTTTCAGCCAACTTCAAACGAAGGAGGTTATAGATGAGTTGTCACCTCTGAGAAGTAAGCTGTACAGGAGCACAGCAATACACGCACAGTGGTAACCAACTTACGTGATAGAGCCAAACTGTTTTTTTATAAAATGTTTTACAGCAATATCACTTATGTTGAGGGAAGATATCATAGGACAGGGCAACCAAGTTAGGGCACCAGTCTTCTACCTAGCTGTTATTTAGTTGTAGAAGTTCATTGTTACTTAGTTTTTTTGTATTATACTGATCATATGTGGGAGAAATTTAAAAAAAATCCTCAGACATGCCAGTTTCCTCACGATGTTTTCCTTCACCACCAAGTACGTGTTAAATCAGCGTTTAAAATTGGAATTGATAAATTCAGTGGTGTCGGCGGCAGTTAACCCCGAGTCGCCCACGTACTGGGTTTACATCAAGCATTTAGCAACTGAGTTGCCACGGCTTTACAAAGGAAAAATATAATCTAAAAATATCAACTATTCAGGCAATATTTCTTTATTTCCATGCTTGCCAAGCCTTGGCAAACGTCTTCAAGCCCCAAGCGTCCACAAATCTCGTTTGGCGTTTGGAAGTCGTTTTCATGCTTGTGAATACGTCAGTGTGCTACGTACACCCAAGCATGGCGGACACCGAACTTGTGTCTGCTATTGCGTTAGGTTTAGCATACTTTTATTTTAAATACAAGCAAAGTAATACAAAAACAAGTAATTTTTTTGGCTTTTAATTCTTTTACTGGCTTTCCCGTTAACTCGGCAAGACGACTCCAAGCATCTCTAACATTCTTTTTATTTTTATTATTAACGTCTTTGGGGTTCCAGATAGACGATTCGCTCTGGTAATATTCCAGAAACGATAAACTCTTCGTTCGACCAGCCACTCATTTTAAACAAAGAACTAAACATGCGATCGTCGAGAAATCACAATTTCTACTAAACTAGGCGTGTGTATCTCTTTACGGAAACGACTCACTGATACGAATCACTGAAGTGACACAAAAGATTGGTTCAGTAACAACGTTTCAAATGTATCATTTGTATCTGGAACAGTGAAACATTACTTTGCTCTTTGCTCATTTCGCGCGACGCGTCGCTTGCGAGGGGACTGAGTCACGAGCGAGAGAGACAGACTGAGACAATGATTAACTTAACTATTGACTCACCAGTGGCGAGTGAGTGGGCGAAATTATTATAAACCACACAAGTCAGATAGAGATAACAAATAAGAAGTGTATCACTCAACTCGTACGGATTTTCGCTGACGTTATTCATGCACGTAAAAATTACCACTAAGGCGCTTATATGTCAAATACTATACGGTCGTTTTTTGTATGTAACGTTTGCATTAACAAGTTGTCATTTTACGTTGATGCGGCACTTGTCAAATTGTTTATATTCATTAGCGCCTGTTTACGAAAACATACTGAGTTATGTTTAGGATTTCTTTGCGTAGTGATTATTGTGACTTTACTTTCTTCCTTTTCATCATAAAGTTTAGAGTTATGATACTTTACGAGTAAATTCTGTGTACATAGACATTGCTGTTTTGTGTAAATGGACATTGTTGTAAATAATGAATTGACATAGTGACATTTTTGTTAAAGTATGAAGGAGAATCGCTTTTATATACAATCTTATTACGGTGCACAATAAATAATCTAAGCACTTATATTATTCAGCATTGTTGCCACATAACATTTCACGGATCAGTCAGTAATAAACGCCCGCGACGCAACTTAATGTACCTATTCGGAACATTCTTTCTTTGATCTAGTGGTTAGTGACCCTGACTGCTATGCCGGAGGTCGTGGGTTCGATTCCCACCCAGGACAAATGTTTGTGTGATGAGCACGATCATTTGTTCTGTGTCTGGGTGTAATTTATCTATAATATTTATGTATTTAGAAATATATAAGTATGTTTATCAGTTGTCTAGTACCCATAACACAAGCTCTGCTTAGCTTGGGACTAGATGGCGTTGTGTGGTAGTTGTGGAATATTATTATTATTATTATTTTATATCTTTTGAGTCGATGATCCAAATGAGCCAAATGAAACATATCAGTGTTTCGGAACATTTCAGTGATCAAGATGCAAATGTTCCAATCACAAAAATGATACACTTTGCCCACCTCCATACTAAACGGTAAACGCGCATCAACGTGTGAATGCGTGGCAAGCGCTTGCTGCAAGCGCCCTTTGATCTGTGTCCAAAAACCGACACTAGACCGGATCAAGGACAAGCGCCCACAAGCTCACGCAAGCCAAGCCAAACGCCCTTTTTACACGCTTGTGCTTGTAGATGCTTGCCGAGACTTGGCAAGCGTGTAAACTCGGCATTATATATTTTTATACTACAAGCATATTTTGTATATCAAGATACAAAAACATGATTCACAATATCGAACAAAAGTAACAATCAAATCTGTCGCCAATTACACATAAGTAGCTATAGTTATGATATAAACATTTTTTGCAAATTCAACCTTACGCACATGATTAAAAGTTGATTTTACAAAGCAATGTCCAAGAAGCAATAACATTTCATTTTCTAAGTTTGCCGGTAGGACAAGACATGAAGTGGAGACGAATATTTTTTAATACTTTTTTTTATACATTGACTTAGTAATAAAAGAGTTTGTAAAATTTATATAAATGAGTATTCTAAACACATATTCATATTTTATCTGATCGTAATTATCTTTTTTGGGTAGAAAATTTATATATAAATGAAACAAATATTAAACATTAAAATAATTTCTTTATACTTTTGTGTCAAAAATTGTAAGGTACTGGTAGAAGACCCTGTACGTGGTAGAGCCATGCTGCAGCTATATTAGTAGCATAGTTGTAGCACGAATGGGTCGGCTTGACCGGGGAAGG